TGAACTTTCTGGTGACTCCTCAGTTCCCAGTGACCCCAGTGAGCCCATCATCCCGCTGACCCAGGAGGAGATCCAGAGCATCCTTTGGCGGGAGGGAAGAGAGAGGAAAGAGCGAGAGGAGAGGCAAAGGAAGATGGTTGAGGAGAGGAGGAGGGAGGAAGAGGAGGCCCTGAGGCTGCAGCTAAAGAAAGAAGAGGAGGAGTGGAGGAGGCAGGTAGAAGAGGAAGAGAGACGCCAGGAGGATGAGAGAAGAATAGAACAGGAAAGAAGGATGGAAGAGGAAAGAAGGAGACAAGAGGAAGAGAGAAGGAGAGAGGAGGAACAAAGGATGGAAGAGGAAAGAAGAAGGCAGCAGGAAGAGGAGCAACAGAGGGAGGCAAAGGAGGAGGTGGAGGTGTGGCTGAGAGGAGATGTGTTCCAGATGCCCTCAGAAGAAGAGCTCATCCCATCACCAGATCCAACACCTCCGGCTGTGACCGAGGAGCTGATGGAGGAGGCAGAAGACATAGAGGTGGAGGAAGAGGTGACACTGCAGGTGGAGGAGGAGGAAGAGGAGGAAAGAGAGACGTGGATCAGAGGAGGCCTCCCTGCAGGCTGCGACATCTCAGACGTAACCATGACCTGCGAGAACGCCAACCTGAACCGCTTCCCTCCTCTGAGCATCCCAGAGCTCAAGTCTCTCAGCCTGGAAGGTGAGTCAGACAGACGACCGGGGGACAGAGGGAGACACAGGGGGGACAATCAGGGGGGACAACCTTGGGACACAGCAAAGGCTCCCATATCTCAGCCATACTGTTTGCTGCTCAGACAGTCTGCCTGCATTTTAGATTGTTGAGGTTATGCCGCAGAATAACTGTCAATAAACTAATGAATAGGTTTCTGAATTTATAAATGTCGGTCAGTAAACTTGTATAAATTCAGAATATGAATTTTCTCCTTGTATTAAAAGTCTAATTCATGAGACATCAGATGTTTAATCTGTGAGAATAGAAGTTTAGAAGTTATGAATAAAAGGTCAACTTTAGCACAGCGCTGCAACTAAAGATTATTTTTCAAATTGATTAATCTGTTGATTATTTTTTCTATTAATCAATTAAATATTGGATAGCCAAATGTTCCTTTTGTATATTTTTTATGAAATTAAACCAAGTGAAAGTAAAACGTTTCTGCTTGAAGAGTTTAGGGGGAAAAGTTTTACTCTAATGTGAAATGTTCATATATTATTTTACAACTTTGGTATAATTACTGCTCTAAGTGGGTCACTCTGTCAGTTTAAGGCATGATTTAGAGTCTATACTTGAGTTAAGTATGAATTACAGATTTCCAAGAAAGAATCTAAAACCCCAGATAAAGGTGTTACACTCCTTAATGCTCCTAGATGTTTTTGCTTGCTGCCTTTAAACAAGAAAACAAGATGAAGAAAATAGAACAAAATGTTCAATCAGTGGTTCTATTTACATCACCTCTCTCTTCTTCTTGTCTAACAGCAGTAGGCAAACAACCCTCTAGTGGAGTACCGCCACCAACTGGTTAGGAGTGTAACAACTTCAGAGGTTGTAAACTCTTACTTGTAGTTTTGCAAGTTGTAGTATGTGTGAGTGTATTTAAGTGCCAAGACAATCTAGACAAACTATGAGAAAAATTTACTTAAAGACAACAGAGGACAACAAGACCAATGGACAAAGAATAAACAAGTGAAGAAAGAACCAGAGAGGCGAACAATCCTAAAAACAGCACCACAAAACACACAAAGGTTGTGGAGATGATGCAGGTGAGGTTGCAGACACAGCCAGACAGCAGTGAATATTCTAGCAGGGAATCCCACTTCAATTAATGTTGAATATTGGTGATAATTTTACCCAACATAAAACTAAAAAACACAAAATAAAACATTGATTTACTTCGAATCAGGACCAAAAACTTTAATTAGTGCTACAAACTTTAAAAAGACAACCTGAATAGAAAATCCTGCTAAGATCTGAATCCTGTCTGGTAATCAGGAGTTCATGAAGCAGGATATCTTCAACCAACACCATCTTCATCGTCTTTATCTGGACTAACACTATTCTAATCTGCAGGAAACAACATCAGCAGCATCCCAGCAGAAGCCTTCAACGGCATTCCCAACCTGGAATGGATCAACCTGAAGAAAAACAAGCTGACCTCTGCTGGGATCAATCCCAAAGCCTTCACAGTAAGACATGTTGGTTAGAAGTAGCAGAGACCAACAGGCTCCATTCCTTTCTCTGTGGTCCCAATTGGGTTGAAGTCTGGCGGACATATTTATGTGTAATGAACTAGGGCTGACTCCAACGGTTATTCTGCAAATCGATCCATTTGATGATTATTACTCAGATCAATTGATTAATAATATAGCCAAAGGTTCAATAAAGAACACTTTTTATTAAATGATACCAGTTGAAACTAAAATGTTTTCACTTGAGGAGTTCTAGAGCATATTGACAGACGAAAACTTTTTTTTTTTATCTTAAAAGCAAAATATTGGGGATAAATTTCTTTTATGTCAGTTCATAACTTTGGCTTCAACTGTAATATAATTTAGTATTATCATTATTATGCACAGTTTCTACCTTACATCTCTGATGTTGCTGCTATTTTCAAATATCCATTACTGTAAAAAATGTCCATTGCTGGATATTGGTTATCTATTCTCCAGGTGCACAGTTTTATATTTTTAAAACACTGTACAGTATTTGATGTGTTTCATTTTTAACTCTTCACTATTATGTTATTCGTTTACATTTTTCTAAGGTCCACATTCATGTGACCATTTTTTCTATAATCATATTGCTGCTGTAACACCAGAATTTCCCCTTTGCGGGACAATAAAGTTTGCATGTCTTTTGCACAGCGATCTTTTTAGAAAAACACACCCACTTTCGTGCAATTTAGCAGCTCTTATTCAGATTTGGTGTTATTACAGCTAAATATCTGAATGACATAGTAAGGACAGGGTTTATACAGGAATGAATAACTCAAATTGAAAGATCTTTTAATGCTCTTAGAAATTATTATTATTATTTTAAAGCCACAGACAGGTACCCGTCGACAGGCTGCAGCCATGTCCCGAAGCCGTCGTTTTCCCCAGCCACTTTTGTCGAAATTTGTTTTCTTCCCCCCATTCTCTAGCTTTTTCTCTGACTCAAGCTTCTTTTCTGAACATACAGCTTTGCAATCAACTGGACGCAGTTCCACGCAAATATATCATGATATAATATGTCTGACGAAATTATTTTTATAAACATTTTTTTTTAATAAAGCATTTTAAATGCCACAATAAACACATTTAATGAATTTTAATGCCAATTAAGGCCTTAATTTAAAAAATAATAATTTATTGACTTTTAATGATTTTTTTATGACCCGAGGAAACCCTGAAGGACCTAAACATATGTTGGGCTGTCACTAAGAAACTCTAAGAAACACTTTTAGATCCAAACATTGTCCTTTAAATGGTTCCCAGTCTGACCAGTCTGTTGTTGCAGGGCCTAAAGATGCTGAGGCGTCTGTACCTGGATGAGAATCTTCTAGACGTGGTTCCACCTGACCTCCCCCCAACTCTGCAGGAACTTAAGATCAATGACAACCAACTGAGAGGAATAGATGAAAACGTCTTCCGAGGTACAGAGATACCATCCAGACAGGCCTCTCTAAAAACCAACACAACCAGCAACACGTTTGAAAAGAACTAAATGACAACTGGTCTGGATACAATCTATTAGTGTCTGGCATGTTTTTTATTCATTTACCAAAGTTTAACGCTCCTCTTCTTGATAACAACTGGTCAATGTTGACACATAACAGGTTACCGGTTCAAGTAAAACTAGAACTAAACAAGCCTCTTGGTTCTGCCAAAGAAAGTAGAAACAAAGTGGCCGTATTGACCATACCCCTCAATGGAAAGAGGAAACTAGATGGTCCTCAGTATTGTTTGCAATGTGACACCATTATGGAGGCACTGCAGCAGTTTACATTCTAAACCTAATCTATTGGACCTTTTCCACTTCAGCCTACTAGACTCAATTCATTTTTGGGGTTTCTATTAGGTACTGGTACCTTTTTGTTTTAGTATCTAGTTGTAACCAAACTATAAATAGAACCTCAGGAGAATGCCAGTCACAGAGCGGACAGTTTTAACACACTAGAACCACTCAGGGCTTTGGTAGAGGAGACTATCCGAGGGAGATAAGGCCACTATTACCCTTGGCAGGGTGTTGTCTCTTTGGGACCTTGCAGTAGGTCTCCTATTGGTTGGTTTATGGTTTTCAAGGTTCTCCGGGTCGGCCATGTGCTCAGATGGCCATCCTTACCTTTTAATCCTTCAGCTTCTGGCCCAGAACTCTTAGTTGTCATCTTCTGCTGATTCAGGAGTGGGTCGTCGGGAAAGCAGTCTCAGTAGAGACTCCCAGACACATTAGCTCATTCTCCCACCATGATACTGCAAATGGTTCAAGGTCATGCCAGCACAGGTTACAATAAGGACTGGACTGTCTGAGGTATCTTGGTCTCAGTGAAAACACAGAAGTAAGTGCCATGTCCCCTCTTTTCAATCGCTTCTAACAGACGACTAAATGCTCTATAAACAAGTGCACACGGCTGGCAGTGCATCATCAATTGCAAATTGTCTTAACCCACTTTTGCAATTTTGACTTGGATCTCTCAATCTGCCACAATAGAAAAGATAAGAGATGGATATTGTATTAATTGTATTAAGTGAAAAAAATATGCCTCTACAGAAGTCAAATTTACACACTGATCACCTAAATTCAAGTATTGTGTTTCGATATCAATAAGGTTTGGTGGCTTGTAAATTTATGTACTTTATTACTGTTTAAATGAATTCTTGAGGTTATTTACTCCATCTCTCTTGTGAATTTTTTATTTTAGCTAAACACCATTTTTTTCCTTTTTCAGATCTTAACAACCTGGTGATTCTGGAGCTGGAGGGGAATTTGCTGAGTGAAGGGAACGTCAGACCGCGGGCCTTTGCACCATTGACTCAGCTCTTCTACCTCAGACTGGGAAGAAACTATTTCCGCACTATTCCACAAGGCCTTCCTAAGTCGCTACTGGTATAACATTTTCAAAATTATCCATTATAAAAGTTCAAAACATGAAACTGAAGGAAAGAAGGTTTGTCTAATTTGGTGAATAAGAGTTAATGGGTTTGGTTGATGCACCCGAAGGCTGATTACTTATTTGAGATTTGTGTCCATCCTTTGGAAAGCCTGGCCTTCAAGGAACTCCCAGAAGAAGTTGAAAGTAAATCCCTGCCAAGTCCTGAAGATCCCGTTGTTTTTAGATAGCAAAACTTAAACAGCTTTAGTGTTTCAGAAGGCTGAGGAAAAAAAGAAGAAAAATCTAAAACAAAACAAAAAATATGCCAAAGTGGAAGAACCAAAAGAAATCAAGCAATTTTTATCTACTAGAGCAATAATTGTTAAAAATAAATACAGCATTTGTACCAGGAGAAATACACTGTGATCAGGTTTTCAGAGATTCGTTCACTGCTTCATGCTCTGCGAAATCAAAGAAGTTCCTCCTTGACTGTGATGTTTAACCTCTTATAAGTGGGAAACCGACCTAGCCAACTAATTACAGTTTCAGGTTAACCACAGAGAGGGCTGAGTACTAGCAGGGCGCTGCTAGTGGTCCATCTAGAACACACCTTCTACAAACATAGAACCACAAACCTTCTTCATGTCACGAATCAAAACAACCCACCGTAACATCTGATAATAGGCTCTAAAATTCAACTTTAACCAAGTCAAAACATTAAAGCACTGCCAGGATATTACAACAATGCAGTGTTAAAGTGCTGGACGGTTCTTCTTTCCTCTTCAGGAGCTGCATCTGGAGAACAACCTGATCGAGGAAATCTCAGAGACGGTTTTAAATCAGACCACAAACCTAAACCTGATTTCTCTGAGACACAACAAGCTGGACGAGACCAGGATCGCCCCCATGGCCTGGTTCAACCACAGGTCAGACCCAAACAGAACCATCATTGTCAACTATCACCTATCAGGGTCTAAGAAACTATCAGTTTGGTTCAGTCTAGACATTAAAGCATATGTCTTTTTCTGCAGGAACTTGGAGTCCATTGATTTGTCCCATAATGACTTGTATCTGGTTCCATCCTACTTGCCCAAGTCATTGGTCCACTTAGTGCTGGTGGGAAACAACATAGAGAGAATACCTGGTAGGTTAAAGGATAAGAATTGTTTTAAAGGTCTGTTAAAAACCTTACGGGTAGCTGCTGTAGTAGACCTTTACAAGAAATCCAGTAGATGTGGTGTGGGGTTCATAAAATGTATGTTTTTGCAAAAGAAGAACTCAAATACAGACTTATTCCTGCAGGAATAAGAGAGGGCTGGACAGTTGAACTCCAGACTCAAACACACTGTCTCCCACAGGACCTCCTCCGCAGAGCATTTTATTAACAGAACATGACACATGGTTACCAACAGAGTATTGTTCTGACAGAACAATTGATCAGCTCATGAAGACAGAATGCTCCATCAGAATGACAAGGCAGGATGGTCTCCTGACTGAATCATGAGACAGGAGTGGAGCATCCCCTCGCACACATGTTTTATAAGCACACATTAATTTTATAATCATCACTGAATAAACCTAACATGTGGTTTATTAGTCCGATAAAACAGGCGAAGCTACAGCAGGGCTGAATTATTAAACGGGGCTGAGTTATTGACGAGAATTAGCAGATTATCTTATTCTTTGGTTTTGTTTTTATTGTTAAATAGATTTTGTTGTTTTTAACAGTTTTATTGCTCATTTTCTTTGTCTTAGGTTTTACATTTGAGCTGAAACAGCACTAACTTTATTGTGTAGATCAACTGTTCTTCAGCTGTCATTAGTTTGCTTCTGCAACATCCTGTATCCTGTGTCCTGTTACTGAAAAGTGCAGTATAAATAAACCTTTTTACATACTTCAACCTTTAACAGATCAAAATGTCCTCTCATTCCTTCACAGGATACATCTTTGCCCACATGGATCCCGGTCTGGAATACCTCTACATGTCCTTCAACAAGCTGGACGGGGAAGGAATCGAGCCGGAGTCATTCTTTGGCGCCTATCACTCCATGACGGAGATGTGCCTGGACCACAACCAGCTGATCCACATCCCTCTTGGAATCAGTGAAATGACCAACTTACATTTTCTTCGGCTAGACAGCAACAGGATCAGGTAGAGAACCAACTTCCACAGAGGTTTTATTCACCATATGTACCGACACACGCGTTCCCTCTGTAATCCACCAAGATCAGCAGTAAATTTCCTTCAACACAGCAGTCTGACTTACTCATCACCTCCAGCTAGACAACATTAAAAGGTTTCCTTGACAACCAGAAACAAAATAAGCCGATTCCAGTTTCCACCTTAGTGTCTCACCTCATCACCCAGAGAAGCTGAGGAAAATTCGAAAGCTCAGAGTAAAGGGAAAAAAAAAAAACTACACGGAGGCAGATTTTTCTTCCAAACTAAAATATTTAACCTCTTCTTTTTTTCATGTGGATACAATTACTAAACTCTTCCACATGCCAGTTGTGAGATCTTTATCCTCAGTGCTCCAACATCAACAACCTCCACAGTAGCTACAGTGTTGTTCCAGTGAGGAGGAGTTAGAGCTCCTGCAACATGCAGGGACGGAATTAATTTAACTGAGTCCAGCTTTTGTTACAGCACTGAGTTTACTAGACCGTCCCGAGTGAGACATTAAGATTAGTAGAGCAGTTCTGAAGCCCCAAGTGAAGCATAGAAAACGGCTGTGTGTGTTTAGATGTTTCCAGCAGTTTTAAATGGAGTGATAACTTCCTCCTTCTGCTACTGTAGATGGCTTTCAACCCGAAGTGAAAGGTACTTTGGATAAAGAATCAATGGTGCAAATCTGTCAAACTCTGGATATCCTTTGATCTATTCATACAGTCCTGTGCCATGCAATCAGAGCAAAGTATCACAGGTTCTGCGGCAAAGCTCTGTTGGTGTCATTTTGCTGTGTATCATGATCTTGAGGGTTTTTTTTTATTTAATGGCAATGTTGCACAGAGTAGAGAATCTTTAATATTTGGAGAAGGGACTAAGGGTTGCTCTGTGATGGTGTTTCACTTGGAAAAGCCAGTAAGTTCTTTAAAAGAATACAACGAAAAGGCCTTAAAACAAAAGCAGATCTGGAAATATCTCATCAATTTAATTCACAAGCTTTTTCTTTTAGGAAGTAATTAAGGCAGGTTTTTTTTTTTTATATACAAAGTTATGATATATGTACAAAACCTTCGTTATGTGTTGGTGTTATTTCAAGATAATCAAAAACAGAAATTATTATTTTTGATGAAAAACTTTAAAAAGAAGAAATTAAAGGACAAAATATAGGGAAAAAAATTAATGTTTGAAACATTTCCTGGAAAATCAGAAGAAGAAAAAAATCATTGAAAAATAAACAGACTGCAGACGGAGCAGCAGGAGGCGGGAATGGTGGAATAGTAAAGGAATCCCAGATGTGAAGGAAATCCTCAGAATTAAAAACTCTCACGTAAATTAATAATAATAAAAAAAAAAGTTGTAAGTTGGGTCTAATTGAGCTTTATTTTGGACATTCCAGAAGCATTCCCGAGGGAAGCATCTGCGACCTGGACAACCACGAGGAAACTAATCTGGTGGCATTAAGGATGGACAACAACTACATCGATCCCAACAAGGTGTCACCAGCAGCCTTCTCATGTTTACGTTCTGCTTCCAGTGTGGTCCTGAAACCTCAGAAACCCATGTGAGCAGAAGATCCTCAGAACCAGAGACTAACAGACATTTGTTGGAAAGATTCTGGTTTTGAATCAATGAACTAAGAACGTTCCCTCAGATCTGTGATGTTCAGGAACATGGTTAGAGAATCTTTTCCGATCTGTCTGGACTTCATGTTGTAAGATTTTGGGCTGCTCTGCCCCTACATGACACTTGGGGTCTGGTAAGTTGTTCTGCTGGGTCACATGGACCACCTTTGGCTGTTAGACGATGACTGAGAACTTCCAGGCTTCACAAACCAAACACATCTGTCTCCTTAGGTAAAATGTTAAACTCTGTAAAGTGGAAAGAACTCCTTCCCTGGAGACTGTAAAATAGTAATAAAGAAATGGAAAGAATTTCTCTGCAGTGGGACCAGAACACATTATTTCCTAACGACCTCAGCAGCTTCATGTTCTGAGCTCTTTCTTCCAGGAGTTTCTTCTATAAAAGCGAAAACAAGGTGAGGGGGGTGGGAAGTGTTCCTTAGACTCTATGAATTACTGAATCTAAATATGTTTAAGGTGCAGGTCAAAACATGTTCAGCAGGAGAGTTAATGGCTTCAGCAGACGAGGTAACAGTAACTGTCAGGACATGTCAGCTCAGGTTGGTTTCTCCTCAGTGGATAAGGTAGAGACGGGACAGGGAGTTCCTCTGGGGGGCTTAAAAGAGATTTAAAACTAATATACAGTCATGGGAGAAGGTTTCAGTGATTGACTCACTAAAAGCAGAGGTTTTCTTTGCCTCCATGGCAAATAATAAGCATTAACCAATGCCAGGAGGAAAAGACATCAGCAATGAATTTAGAGAAGCAACTGTTGATTCCCGAAAACCAGGAAAGGGTCATAAGGTCATCTCCAAATAAGATAAAGTCCATTATCCTACACAGAGAAGAATTATAACATTTAAATATTATATCATTTAAACATTATAACATCTTAGCCATTTTTCTCAGGAGTTGAGATCCGAGAAGATCCAGCCCAAGGTTAGAGCATGGAGATCAGAAATGTCCAGAAAGGAGGGAGCTTCAACGCAGACTCTACAGGTCAAAGTTAACAGTTAAAGGTCATGACCTTGAAACAGTCTGCCTTATCTCAGCTTACTCTTGATGATACTCAAAAGAATCTCGTAGGTTCTACAGGCAGATAAAAAGGGGTCCACAGTCTGCTAAAGGAGGTTCTACAGGTTGCTAAAGACGGTTCTAGAGTCTGTTAAAGTAGGTTCCATAGTCGGCTAAAGGAGGTTCTAGATTCTGCTAAAGGAGGTTCTATAGTCGGCTAAAGGAGGTTCTACAGTCGGCTAAAGGAGGTTCTATAGTCGGCTAAAGGAGGTTCTATAGTTGCCTAAAGGAGGTTCTACAGTCTGCTAAAGCAGGTTCTACAGTCTGCTAAAGGAGGTTCTAGAGTCTGCTAAAGGAGGTTCTACAGTCTGCTAAAGCAGGTTCTACAGTCTGCTAAAGGAGGTTCTATAGTCCGCTAAAGACGTTTCTAGAGTCTGCTAAAGGAGGTTCTATAGTCGCTTAAAGGAGGTTCTACAGCCTACTAAAGGAGGTTATACAGCCCGCTAAAGGAGGTTCTCCAGTCTGCTAAAGGAGGTTCTACAGTCTGCTAAAGGAGGTTTTACAATCTGCTAAAGGAGGCTCTAGAGCAGGTATACCCAAACTCGGTCCTCGAGGGCCGCTGTCCTGCAGGTTTTAGAGGTTTCCCTGCTTTAGCAAAGCTGATTATCATGATTGCAGTAGAGCTGAAGCTTGTTAATCATCTTTTAATTAAAATCAGCTGTGCTGGAACAAGGAAACCTCTAAAACCTGCAGGACAGCGGCCCTAGAGGACCCAGTTTGGGGATGCCTGGTCTAGAGTCTGCTAAAGGAGGTTCTACAGTCTGCTAAAGGAGGTTCGACAGGCTGCTAAAGACGGTTTTAAGGGTTACTAAAGGGGTTTTTAAAGGTAGCCGAAAGAGTTTCTAGAGGCCAGTGAAGGTGATACTAGATGTTCATAGAAAAGTTTCCTTGTAGATCCAGGTTGTACCTTCTCTGACTGGTGGATGGAACATCTTAGACCAGTTTAAACTGGCCTGTTGTTCTTCTAGCGGATCTTAGTACACACTTTTGAACTGAGTGATTAAAGCCGAACCAGGTCCAGCAAGAGCAGATTCCCTGATCTCCAGCACTACCTGGACATCCAGGAGATCCGAGCAGATCATTCATTTACAGATTCCTGCTTTGAGATGATCATCTCAGGCCTGGGAGACAACATGGAGCCAGGATGACAGATCCTGACTGAGTCAGGAGAAGCTGTGGTTCTGTAGCTGCATGCCACACACATTCAGTAGAGGCTGAGAAGGCCAACCTAATCATAACATTTTCCTCTGCAATCCTGAGGTCTGGGAACATCTCCTGCAGTAGCAGGCATCTGACAGGATGACTACGAATGTGATAAACAAACCCATGCTTCTGGAAACTAAACCTGGATACCTTCAGTAGCCACTGCAGAGAAAATACATCCACAGGTAGGAGAGTGATAGAAACAAGAATCTGGAATGTGAGGTAGGTCTTAGACAATATGACTGTCATCATCACGGCATGTTTCAGCTGGAAAACTTTTCTCAAATGAGCCGAAGCTCCGAGATTAAAGCTTTTCCTAGAGAAAAAAAACTCAGCTGGGCTGCCAACGAAACCAGCTGCTGCACTCATTAGATTCAAATATCAAAGACCTGAAGAAACCCAACAGTAATCACTTTCATGACCTCATTGACGGTGTGCAGGATAGAGAGCATGCAACAAGAAGAACTCAGCATCAAGAAGCTGTTGTTTAGTCAGATAGGAACAATTAAAAACTGGATACATTTGGAACAATTTCTATATAAAAAAAACAACAACAACAATTCCTCCTTTCTAGATTTATTATATTTAGGAATTGTATACTTAACTGCTCTGTATAATTATTTAACGGGTTAATATAATAACCCTTCAAGTATTTGTTATTTTATCTATAAACTAAGCATTAGCCATCTATTTGGGATAGCCATATTGTAAACTGGAACCTTTTAAAGTAAATAATCAATACAAGCAGTTAGATCTGGACCAGGCTGCTTCTGGAAAATAAAACTAACAAAAAGAGGAATCAAACCAGTTAGGCCCCAAAGGATTTAAGTGCTGCATTTACCTGAAATTTCTCAACTGCATTTAATCAAGACAAGCTACACAGTCATGGCGTGTCTAAATGCAAGCTTTTGTAAAGTTAAGATGAAATAGAAAATTTTAAACTACTTTTGCAACTTTTACTAGGGGTGTGGGAAAAAATCGATTTGATGATATATTGTGATTTTCAGCTGCTGATATAATATCGATGTCTCAGTTCCTGGTATCAATTCAAACATTTTTACCTAAATAAACATTGAGGGAAAATGGGCTTCCTCTGCACCACCACTCTGGTATATGCTGTGAAGCCCTTTCGCTATGCGGTGCAGCGCTATATCAGTAGTTGAGTCAGTCACAGTGGAAGATGTGGACTACAGGTGCTGGTCATAAAATTAGAATATCATGAAAAAGTAGATTGATTTCAGTAATTCCATTTAAAAAGTGAAACTTGTATATTATATTCATAC